TTTTCATATATATATATATATATATATATATATATTATATATGTATATATGAAAAATATATCAAAATGCATGTGGGTATTCAAATGAAAGCTCTTGATGAGTGTAACATCAGAATAAGCTTATATCTTTAGAAACGTCAATATTTAAGAAAGTACAGTGCAATTTAACAAAAGTCATTAATTAATAAACCAAAATTTTACTCTTAGTTCACAAGTCACGGTAATCACATAGAGACTGCAAAGTTGTTAGTAGGGAAATTATTTTAAATATACTCATGCATCAATATGAACAAGTGTTAGTAAATATAAAATAAATAAACAAAGCATACCTTCAAGATTTGAGTCAGTCTGATCATAAGACGTGTCTTTGTGAGGATGAAAGGGTACCGTGGGAGTTGGTACATCCAGCAAAAGACTTCCCAGAGTTTTGAGCGGTTGGTGAAGCTTATCCCGGTACTGATCGATCCGTGATTCAGATCTCTCCGGCTGGTGATGCAATTGAAACGAGTCTCGTTCACGTTCACGCCGCTGGAATAACGACTCTCTCTGAGGGGCACGAATTTGGTAAATTGAGCTCTGTTCTCTTTCGTATTCTCGTATCTGAACGTCGTGCTGACGTTGGAAGTCTACTTGAGGAAGTTGAAGCCCCTCGTAGTCACGTTGGAGCTGCTGTGGCTGCAGGTACTCACGATCGTACTGATCATGTTGCAATTGGTGATTTTGAGGTGGCTCGCACGACGACTCGGATCCTCGTAATCCATCGGTTGCGTTGTTATTTTCAGCCTCGAAGGACATGGCCAGCTGTAATGTAAAAAAAAATTATTAAATTTTATTTACAAATTATTAACAAACTCTTCAATAAAGTTATTAAATAAATTATTTGGATTGTGTATTAATAATAAGTAAAAGATTATATTGTTTGTATTGATACAAACCGTGGAAAAATGAAAATCAAATGAATTCTCGGTATTATCACTCTCCCATAAATCGTTTTCGAACATAACTGTTCAAAGACTCCGGAAGGTATGATCGACTGGTAGCAATCGAAGAAGGAAAACACAATGAAATAGAATAATAGCAAAAAAGAAAATTCGTGATAAGAGAGAGGGAAGTCTAGGTGCTGGGTAATAAGTAAAATGTGGGAATATTCCAGTTAGTGGTGTGGGTATTTAGTTTGAGCTATTACTTTCCACGAATTAATATATAAAGAAAAAAGAGCTTACAAGCCTGTGTATGATAAGAGGCCGCTAGTAAACTTACCGCCCCTTAATTATCGAGCAAAAGTTTCACGTCTTCTCAGAATACGACCTTTTGATATACGATCTAAAAATTTATGAACAAAGCATTTTTTTACAGTACACATGCACACAAATTGCTAAAAAAACTAATTAATTATTTTTTAATTTTCAGAAAAAAATTATTTCAAATTATTTAACTTTTTTTTTATCGATTTTAATTAAGATACATTTTTTTGTACTCAGATTTTAATTAATTTTGATTTTAGTGAATCTTTTGTAGAAAAAAAATTTTATGTATTTAAAAAATTGACTTTAAATATTTACTTTTAATTTACTCGATAATTAAAAATATTTATAGAAATAACACACGTACATTTGTCTAAAATATTAAAATATTTATAATAATTGCGTTCAATTTTAATAGACAGATCCTTTTTAACAAAGAGAAAATAAATAACTTGTTAAATCACTAATCCCAGTATTAAGTTCCTAGAAGTGAGGAACATGAAGCTTGTTGTAAAATAAATAGCAACAAAAAAAATTAACCTGCAAGTAAAATATAATATTACAAATTGAGTGTTTATGTTTTAGTTTACTCAACATAAATATGATGCCGATCTTTGGTTTTATGTTATCCGGCGTTGGTATATCTGTCTCTTACAGGCTCAAACAAAAGACTAGACAAAGACGCAAGACTATTAAATATTACACTAAATATCAGTAATTAATTATTTTTAATCTATTACTACAGAATTATTTAAAAATAAATAGTATTAGAATAAAAAATAAAATTGTACCTGCTGAAGAAGACTCGGCATTTCAGTTGTTTCTTTGTTCGTTAGAAAGAAAAGCGCACCGTCAACAAGTGCGATTTAATCTTGATATCCTCGACGGTGGTCTTGTGTTATATTTAATTCGCACAAAATATACTAACGAATAATTATACTTAGACAACTCAGAAAGACATTATTGAAAATAGTATGAAGAAACAATTACATACAACACGATAAATATATTTTTTTTTATTTTTAATTACGATAAATAACGAGTCGTGAAAATAAGATTTATTTGTTATGTTAAATTTTATTATTTACTTTAATTATTTTAAGAAAATTTATTAACGAGCTGTTGTCCACGTCCTGTTGTGAGGACGACTAACACGACTCTAGCGTAAAATAAAGTTGATATATACTTGATGTGCGATTATATACTATACGAGCTTATGGGAGTAAAAAGTACACATTCTTAACCATGTCGTCGCGCTCGGCTAACTGAATCAAACGGCTCGTCTACTTTTGATCACGCGCGCAATTTTAATTTTTCCTTTGACGCATGCGCTATTTTGTTATCCTTAAAAAAAGTCCTTGACAGTATCAATAAATTGGACTAACTAAATTTAATAACTTAAAAAATTATTAAAAATAATATTTGATATTTTTTAAAAATTGTTAAAAATTTGTAAAAAATAATATTAAAATTTTTTTTTAAATTATTCAATCAAATAAAATTCACTAAAAATTTCAAATGAATGCGAGCATAATTTTTTTTCAGGATATCAATCTAATAAAATTTACTTGAGTACTTATTTAAGAATATTAAAATTTAATTTATTTATAATTTTTATAAAAAATTATTTTTTTTAAATATATGACCAAGTGAAATTAAATAAAAGAAAATAGTTAATAATAATTTATATTTAAAAAAATTGTAAATAAAAAAAAAAAAACAGAATCATATTAATTAATATTCAATGTGAGCTGTTGAAGAGTCCAGCATCTCAATCTCGGAGTCCATTTCCCCGGACGAGTAATTAACATCACTAGGACGTTCTGCTGGACGAGGTGGATTTTCTTCGGATTTTCCGGTATTATCATCACCCCAGGATGAAAATAAGTTAACACGTAATTTTTCAATTTCTTGTTCTTGAGTGCTTGCAGTTCCAGCTGCCGAGTTGTCAGTCGATTCAGTTGGTTCTGTTGTCGGGGGTGCTTCTGGGAATTTGTATTTTGGCATTTCCGCTGGTGCATCTACAATAATAACAACCAATAATAATTAAACTTGCAACCTTGCAGTCACTATGTGATTACCGAGACTTGTTAACTATAAATACATAAAATTTTGCTTTATTAAATAATGACTTTTGTTAAAATGCACTGCACTTTCTCAACTATCGACGCTCTTAAATATATAAGCTCATCCCGATGTTACACTCATCAAGAGCTTTCATTTGAGTACCCACATGCATTTTGATATATTTTTCATATATACATATATATATAATATATATAAATATATGAAAAAATGATGTGTGTACTCAAATGAAAGGTCTCGATGAGTATGACATCGGGATGAGCTTATATCTTTAAAAATGTTAATAATCCACAAGATACAAGGTCATTTCTTAATTATTGACATTTTTTAAGATATAAACTCATTTTGATGTTATATTCATTGAGACCTATCATTTGAGTACCCACATCAATTTTTCATATATTTTATATATTTATATATTTGACAAATACTATATATATAATATATATAAAAAATGCCATGTGGATACTCAAATGAAAGGTATCGATGAGTGTAACATCGAAATGAGTTTATATCTTGAAAAATGTCAATAGTTCACAAGATACAAGGTCATTTCTCAATTATGTATCTAGAGATAGAGTATTTTCGAATGCAGCCTAAATGCTTATCATAATAAATTGACTATCGGTGAGAATGATATTAAACCTTGAAAAGGCACAAATTCAAGTCAAGCACAAAACCTTTAAAATGACACTAAATTTCAGTAAAAAAACCGATTTAATTTTTCTTATTTTCTTGATAATATAGATTAAATAACTAAAAATTTTAGATAAATCATCTCATTAATTGAATCACCTGGAAAAGGAGGACTTTCATCGATCAACTGTTCTAAAACATATCCTAGCATAGTTGTGGTAAAAGTATCATCTCTCCTCAGACCAAGTGCCCTATGAAAAGCGTCAACAGCTTCCTGGGTATTGCCAATTAGTGCATGAATAAATCCAATAGCCGAATAAGTTGATGGATTAAGAGGATTTAGTACGAGAGCTTGCTGATGATAATCCAAAGCTTCTTCATATTTCTTGAGTTTTCTACACGTGTGTCCTAAATTATTGAGAAGCGGTTCCCATTTGCTAGGTAAAACGATATTTTTTCCTCCAATCTGAATTTTGCTCAACGCTTCTTTAAATTGTCGCTCAGCTGTCTTATAACTAAAATAAAAATATAAAATTAATTAACTGATAGATCTTGTTGTAAAAGAAATATGAAAAAATTAAAATACTTTACTCTAAATTAGAAAAAGAAATAACTCCAGTCTCGTGAATGACAAACGGATCATTCGGCGCAATGCTCTGAGCTTGCTGGAAAAACTTATCAGCTAGTTTTAAATTATTAGTCAACCCGCATTCAAGCCCAATGTACAGTAGAGGAAGATGACAGCCTTTCATTAATTGTGATGCTTTAAAATAGGCAGCCATTGCTTGATCATGCTCATTTTCAACAGCAAAGGAGTGACCGTACGCCAGCCAGGCTGGTCCGAACAGTCGATCTAACGCTGTTGATTTAGCTAAGTACCTCCTTGCATGATCACTCTTTCCTATTAACAATTCAATTTAATCAAACACTTTTATCGATTAATAATAAGTAATTAATTTAAAAATTACCAATTGCGAAATAATAACAGCCAACTGCAAACCATGCTAATGCCATGTCAGGATACAAATCTACTAGCTTGTGAGCTAAGTAGAATAATGCTGTAATTAATTTTAAATAGTAATTAGCATTCATTTTATAAAATTTATTAATTATTAATTAATTAATGAATTTGTCAACTGACCATTAGTTTTTTTTAATTCTACTAAACAAGCAATATGAACTGGTAGGCAACAACTGTGATATGGGTCTTTCTTTAAAATCCTGAAAAAAAAAATAAATTAAAAAATTTTAGTATATTGATTAATGAATCAAATTAATGAATTGAGTTATTAAAGAATCAAATAAAAATAGTTAATTAACATAATATAATCATTAAAATGTAATGTGTCTCTTTTGTGGATAATTCACTGTAATTACTAATAACAATTATTTAGTGCCCCTGTTAATGGCAAAAGCTGTTGGGCCTAAGTGTAAATAAATAAAATGACTTTAATTAAATTTGTTCAATGATAATTTTTATACTTACACTTCAGTTAATGAAAAACATTGTTGATAGTCACAATTATAATATAATCTTTCAGCCTTAGCAACTTGCATATCTAAATTCTCCTGAAGCCTATCAGTTACCAAAACACCTTTAACACAAGTTATCGATAAATCTTCCAATGGCGCTTGATATTTTTTTAATTTACTCTCGTATAACATTTTAAGAAGCTCACGATCTGCTTCTGAACACTGCTCGTTGAAAGGCAGAGTATCTAATAATTCTTTTTCTGCAAAGATAATTAAAGAAAATTATTTCCACTCCGGTAGTAAATAAATTAACAATTTAATCATTAGATTACCTTCTGCGGCAGAGAGCATTTGATTTTGTACTAAAGCTTCGAATGCTTGATAGGAATATACATCGCAAAGTAGAGCTTGTTTGTAACAATCCGCTGCAACTGACCTGTTATCAGTAGCTTCGTGTACTCGTCCCTTAACATAAAATATCGCGCTCTGGACCTGTTTCATTAATCATATTAATGTAAAAATTCATTTTGAATAATTATATAAAAAATAGTAATTATTAATTATTTTACTAACATTTTTCGGTGCATCTTGCATAAAATTTGTGTGATCCATAAAGCTAACACCAGTTTGCGAGATACTCGTACATAATTCCGTTTCATTAATTATTTGAAGAGCTTCTGTGAACTCTTTGGCTTCAAGTAAACTTCTAATTGTCAAATAATGACACATAGGATCTGTCTGTACACAAATAAATAATTTTTAAAAATTATACTGAGATTGAGAGACAACTGATAATTTTTTTAATTTTTTCAACAAATAAATTATAGCAAGAAAAAATTATATAAAAAAAAATTCATCTTTGAAGCGCTAAAAAATTATAAATGCAATTTTTTTTTAATAATTTTCTATACCTAATTTACTTTTCAAGAAAAATAAAAAAATTATCAAGTGTCTGCTGATGCAAGTTTCATTAAAAAAAAAAAAATACTAAAATTTACAAAAAATTAATGAATAATTGATTACCTTTTCCAAGCCTCGACTTTTAATTAAATGAGCAGCTCTGTGATATTGTTTCATCAAATACATACATTGTCCAAGGGTACAGATATCCCTGGGTTCCTCGTTGCCCAAAGAAACCACCTTGTCAGCCCAAAATAATGCTGCACTGTACAGGTGCTGGATAAAAAGTATTTTTTATTAATTTTTTAATTAAAAAAAATTTTTTTAATAATTTTTTGACTTACCGCATCAATATAAGATTTGACTAGCTTTCTAAAATTGTCTAAATTAATATTTTTAGAGTCACTTAAATTCTGCATTCCATTGCAATCAATATCAGACTCTAGTCGTGACATTTTTATTTTATTAAATCCTACAACAAATGTCTATTTTTTTAATATTAAATAATTATTTATACAAGTTACTGTGATTATCAATAAAAATAAGTAGAAAAACATAAATATACATTTTATTTTTAAGGTTATGAACCGGTAACTGAAAACTAAACAAGTAAATATGTAAAGTCAGGATCTACTTTATCTACAAAATATTTTTTTTCAACTAAAATTTATGTAACAATTAAGGACTTAGCTTAGTAAATAAATAATCAAAGGAATTATAATTAACAATTATTTATTTATTTATAATAATTTTTTCATTTATGATGAACAGGGTTTATTATTGAGTAACAATATCAAAATTTTCATACATTATTTTCTAGATAATAGTCTTAAGTGGATAAATTATATAAAGAAACTAAAAGGCAAGTCTTTTCATCAACAAATACATGTGCTGGTCGATTTCAAACCCGTGGAGATTGTTTGCGTCTCCTTGGAGTCTCATCAGAAGTCCCCCAAAAGAAACGTAGGCAGAGAGACGGCTTCCTGGTTCGTTAGTCGACTCGTCACCTTCCATACGATAAACCTTGCCGGACATAACGTACTCAAAACTGTCCGCCCTTGATCCTCCTTCTTGCTCGATTGCTGTCCAATCTCCTCCGTCAGGGTATCCGTCTTCTCTCAACGTCGTGGCGAGGACTAGACGGAATTTATCACCAAGCTCCATGGGGTAAAGCCAACTGTTGATGTCTAGTATCAAGTCCATTTTAAAGGACTCTGATTCGCAATGTAAACGACTAACACGGTCGAATTTTTTGCCTTCAGCATCAATGTCTTTTACATTGAAAATATCTTCAAACAATACACCAGCCATTTTTATTTAATCTTACTTTTTTATTTTTTATTTTTAACCTAAATGTTTTTTCAGATTGTAAAGGAATTTTTTTTAATTTAGAAAATATAAACGTAAATACTGAAGGAGAGGTTAAGTTACACCATGTGTTCAATTCAAACTGATTCAAACACTTGAATAATAATAACTAGTATCAATTACAGAGCAAGTTTGTCTTGAGTATGTGATGCACCCAGTGCATCCAACAGGTGACGCTACCTGTTATTAGAGCGCTATCTATTATGAGAGCGCGAATTCAAACGAGATATTCAAACTAGTAAATATTCAAACTAATCTCTGGCAAGGAATGCTTCAAGTTGTCGGTGTGGAGATATTATATATTTATCATCAATTCTAAAATCAGAAAAAAAAAATATTAAAAGTAACAATTTTGATTACAGCTTGAAAAAATTGTATAATTAAAATTAAATCGAACTTACTTGACTTTATTAATAGGAATTTTTCTGGCAACTAATTTGTCAATCATTTTTATTTCATTAGGTGTTAATACTAAAAGTGATTGACCATCATCTTCAAATCTTGCCGTTCTACCGGCTCTGTGGATATATTGATCAGTATCTTCTGGACAATCCATTTGTACTACCCAATTAACATCAGGAAAATCTAAAATTGATAGTCAATAATTATTAAAAAAGTAACAATTGGCGTAAGTAAGATAAGTGTATTGAATAATTATATCTACTTACCTAGTCCACGTGAAGCAATATCTGTACAAAAAAGTGCAGCTTTGTTTGTTGTACAAAACTTTTCATAAATTTTCATTCGTCTCAATTGATGCATCGTACCATAAAGTGCTGTGATAGGAATTCCGGGACGTAATTTACAGAAACATTCAAACATGTATTTTGTTTGTTTGCAAGTTGAGAAAAAGACAATTATTTTTTGCTGTGTATGCCTTTTTAGAAAAGACCAGAGCATCGCTACCTTGTTGTCCAAATTACAGACAGTGTAACTTTGTTTTAAATTATCTGGTGTAACGTACTTCATGTGCTCGTGAACAGAAATATATTGACGATCTTTTGATAAATTTAATCTAGCTAAATCTTTAACTGACTTGGTCTGAGTAGCGGAGAACAGCAACGTTTGTCTTTTTTTTGGTAAATGATCCATAATAGCATCAATATCATTTTGAAAACCTTGATCTAAACATCTATCAGCTTCATCAAGAACGAGAATTTTCAATGGATTGGTATCAAAACTTGCGTTTTCATCTAAATGTTGAAGAATTCTTCCTGGTGTTCCGATAACGATATTACAAGTTTCCATACGGTTCCTTTCAAATTTCCAATCTTTACCTCCTATAATTAAAGCAGCAGAAAAATCATGATGTCTTCCTATATTTCTTAAGGTCTCAAAAATTTGTAGAGCTAATTCCCGTGTGGGAGTTATTATCATTGCTCCTAGACGATCTTCCCTTGACCATAACTCACAATACAATAATTCTAGCACCTGAAAATGTATACGTTCATTAAATTATAGTACAATAATATTATAGTAACAATAAATAAATACCGGAATTAAAAAAGCAAGTGTTTTTCCACTGCCAGTTTTTGCTGCCCCTAAAATGTCGTACCCTTGAAGTGCTTTACCGATACATTGTCTCTGAATCTCTGATGGGACAAAATATTTAGATTCTTTCAATCCTTTCAATGTTTTGTCAGATATTGGGAAATCGGAAAATTTTTTTATTTTTGATTCATCGATCTAAAATTATATAAAAATGGGTTAATGTTTTGCAACAACATTAATACAGTTGTGATTGTAATAATAAAATAAAAAATTATGAATAAATTAATCGAACGTGTCGATTACGTGTAGTAAAATTTTTTTTCATTTTTTAAAATCACAACTCTGATTATCAAAAAAAAATAATAACCTCTTTATACTTAGACTTCAATATTTCAACTTTTTTGCTTTGAGGGATTGTTTTTTTCCTAGTAGCTGTTTTAAATTTTCTTCTTTGATTATTTGAATTTTCTCCTTTTTTTTTACTTTTATGTGATACGTTAGCCATTTTTTATTTAACAATATTCAAATGAACAAATATAAACATACCAGACGACAGGACACTTTGAGCACGTTTTTTTTTTTTTATATAAATGATTAACACATATGGCTGATTTACATTGGCTTTAAATCAGTTAGAAAGTTGTTATATTGACTGTAAGTAACTCAGTGGCATTCCAGGCGCATGATGTAGGGGTCATATCTGAGTGATCCGAACGGAAATGTAGCCAATGTAATTATTGTCAAGGAATTCAAAAAGTAACTTGCTCTTTAACAAGTTATATACATTTAATACTTCTTACATAACACTTAATGTATGTCAAATAATAGTAAATTCTATATGATAAAATACACACATTAAAACATTTAAATATCATATTTGTGAAAAAAATTAAACTGTAACCCATGAACTGTAACATTACAAAAGAACGACAATTGATCTGTCTTCTAAGTCTTTTAAGTCATAAGTAAGAAATTAGTTGTAAATTTTTTTAGGTATTAACTGGCGGTGGAGGAAATTTAAATTGTATAATCTAAATTCAAACACAACCTTTTTATTCTAAATAAGAATAATTCTTCTTGAAAATATTTATTGTTTTTATTTATTAAAATATATAAATATTGATTACTAAAATAAAACAAAAAATCGCTTATTTAATGGGAAATTATTTATTTTTCTTTATAAAGTAATTTTTTTTTTTTTTAATTTTATAAAATATTAAAAACAAACTGTTCTTTAACTTGTTTCAGCTTAAACTATTATTTATTTTTACACCTTCTCAACATTTATCAATGATTACGTTCTTGTCATATGAATATTATGAAACAAACAATTATTTTTTATATATATGTAACCTTTTTATTCTAAATAAGAATAATTTTTCTTGAAAATATTTATTGTTTTTATTTATTAAAATATATAAATATTGATTACTAAAATAAAACAAAAAATCGCTTATTTAATGGGAAATTATTTATTTTTCTTTATAAAGTAATTTTTTTTTTTTTTTTTTTAATTCTATAAAACAATTCTATTTTAATTCTATTAAAAACAAACTGTTCTTTAACTTGTTTCAGCTTAAACTATTATTTATTTTTACACCTTCTCAACATTTATCAATGATTACGTTCTTGTCATATGAATATTATGAAACAAACAATTATTTTTTATATATATGTAACCTTTTTATTCTAAATAAGAATAATTCTTCTTGAAAATATTTATTGTTTTTATTTATTAAAATATATAAATATTGATTACTAAAATAAAACAAAAAATCGCTTATTTAATGGGAAATTATTTATTTTTCTTTATAAAGTAATTTTTTGTTAATTCTATAAAATATTAAAATCAAACTGTTTTTTATTTGTTTCAACTTAAATTATTATTTATTTATACACTTTCTCAACATTTATCAATAATTACGTTCTTTTCATATGAATATTATAAAACAAACAATTATTTTTTATATCTATGTAATTAGAATAACATAAGAAGATAAAATTATTTATTTAAATATAATTCGTTTAAACTTAGATTAAAGTTTAAAAAATATAGGAATATCAGATATAATTAGTAAGTTCAAAAATATTAGAAAATTAAAAAAAAAAAGATGTTTTTGTTTTTTTAATATCGATAAATTTTGAGAAAGTTTATAAATAAATAATAGTTTAAGTTGAAAAAAATAAAAAACTGTTTGATTTTAATATTTTATATAATTAACAAAAAATTACTTTATAAAGAATAATAAATAATTTCCCATTAAATAAGCGATTTTTTTTTTATTTTAGTAATCAATATTTATATATTTTAATAAATCAAAACAATAAATATTTTCAAGAAGAATTATTCTTATTTAGAATAAAAAGGTTGTGTTTGTATTTATATAGATTATATAATTTAAATTTCCTTCACCGCCAGTTACCTAAAAAAATTTACTTTACCGACAACTAATTTCTTACTTATGACTTAGAAGACTTAGAAGACAAATCAATTGTCGTTCTTTTGTAATGTTTCATGGGTTACAGTTTAATTTTTTTCATAAATATGATATCTAAATGTTTTAATGTGTGTATTTTATTATATAGAATTTACTATTATTTGACATACATTAAGTGTTATGTATGAAATATTAAATGTATATAACTTGTTAGAGAGAGCAAGTTACTTTTTGAATTTCTTTACAATTATTACATTGGCTACATTTCCGTTCGGATCACTCAGCAGATGACCCCTCAGAAATATCAGAAATTATGAAATGACACGTCTGACCACTGAGTCAACTCTAAAGGAATAAAGTCGCTCTATGGCGAAATAAGACAATAATAGTTTGATTATTAGCTGGTAAAACGCTTTTTAAACCTAATTAAACATCCGGTTGAACCGTTTAAAAATCACCTGATGTTTCATGTTATTTGTATTAATGACACGTGTCAATCATTCTATTCATTTAATTACTTTTACGACTAGCAATAAAACGAATAAATTCACTATTTTTGTATCGAATTATGTCTAATGAGCAATTCTAAAAATATCGTCGAAGAAAGTTCGGTTTTTTGACAATACTGAAATCAGCGGACGTTTAAAAATTTTTTATTTTTTTAACTTCCCGCTAAGAAAATTAAAAATTTTTTTATTAATTAAATTAGAACTCAAAAAAATATTTTTTAAAAATTTCACTTATAGTTTTTCAAATCTTTTACTTAGAGAATTTTTATTTTTTTGTAATATTTTTTTAAATAAGAAAAAGCCTAAAAATGGTTAAAAGCCTTTTAATTAAAATCATTTTTTTAACAAAATTGTTTATAGAAAAAAATTTTCGAAATTTCCGGTGTCAATTATATCCGCGCGCAGTTTGACAATATCGATAAAAAGGAAATATATTTTATCATCTTAAATCTTAACTCGTGGATCTTTAAAGAAAAAAAAAAATAATAATAATAATAATAATAATAAAAGATAAAGATAAATTTGTTTACAATGCTTAACATATAATTAAGTCTAAATACAAATTATTACAGACATTATTAAAAAATATGCGCTTTCAATTAATGTATTTTTTGGGGACCGAAGGCATGTATTGGTAATGTAAACAGTATATAAAAATATATATTTTACCTAAAAACATACGTAATGAAAATTAAATATCAATTATTATTATTATCTTTGTAGTTTACTTATTCCACTTGTCGTGTGAAGAAAAACACACACACTAAGAAGACTAGACACGTCTATAGTCTCCATACACACACGCTTCCAAGAAACAAAAATGCATCAGCATCAGAATGTGTGAAGTTGCGTCATAACCCTGAAACGCTAATAGATTAGATTTTCTAGCTGGATAGAATCTCTCTGCACTCAATTATTTAAATTTCATCTCAGAGTATCAGCGATTGACAGTGACGTTAGAGTATTTTCTGCACACTCATCACGCAATGGTTTGTTATCTATTATATTAACTTGTTTGCTTACATTAATCTAATAAAGTGATAGAGCTGATAAATAATTAGCTTATTACTCGTGTTTCATTACACGGCTCAGTTACTCACGCTTCTTATGTGCAAGTTCAAAGTCCACTATAATAACCACCTCCACCTTATTTTTCTAACAATCACTAAGTGTCACTCTTTCATTAATTTAATTAATTTGTATTTGTTTTCCGCAGTCAGTCAACATGCTCGCACGCATTTGCAATAGAGCATTAAAAAACCAGTCTTCTAAATTGACAGTTCAATTTCAACAAAGGAAATTTTCATCTGGAAAAAAATTTAAGGAAGTTGAAATTAAAGTACCATGGGGTAAATTAGCTGGTAAGTAAAAAAAATTTTTTTATACAAAAAAATTATTATTTTATAACTAAATTAAAATGACATTAAAGCTATAGCTGTCACTTGATCATTTTTTAATTTTTTTTAACAAACAAATTTGTTCCTAAAAATTATTTTTTAAAAATTGCATTTTAAAATTTTTGAAATTTTTACTATAATTTATTTGTTAAAAAAATAATTATTAATTATCTGCTAAATTAATTTTCATTTACAAAATAATAATACTCAAGTCAGCTGACGTTTTTGATTTTTGTTTTTTATTTATTAAATTAGAACTAAAACTTATTTTTTAAATATTGCACTTAAAATTTTTTACAAATTAAATTTTATTTTTATTTTTTTGTAATAATTTTTTCAATAAAAAAATTATCCAAGTTTTTAAATGTCTGCTAACTCAATTTTCATTTCAAAATATTATAGTTATTATTTTCTCAATCGTTTGATTACTATAATTATAAATAATTACAGGTAAACATTGGGGACCAACAGATGCACCGCCAATAATAGCTTTGCATGGCTGGCAGGACAATTCATGTTCTTTCGATCCCCTCGCAGTAAACTTACCATCAAATATATCTCTGTTAGCTATAGACCTTCCTGGTCATGGATTCTCCAGCTGGATCCCCAAAGGGCTCATGTACAATACTCTTCTGTACGTCCAAACAATTCATCGCATAAAAGAATACTTTGGAATGGAAAAATTTGGGCTGATGGGCCACTCTTTAGGCGGCATGGTAACTTTCAATTATACGTCATTATTTCCTGACAACGTTAAATTTGTAGTAGCCTTTGACTACTTCAAGTACCCATCACTCAACGCCGTAAAACATCTACCGTTATTCGCCAGAGAATGGAATCAGTTTTTCAGCTATGAAAAATTTACGACGCCTGTTCCAAGCTATGCCGAGGAGGAAGCGATAACACGATGGATAAAAGCCTCCAAGAACTCGCTGGACGTTGAATTATGTAAAATATTGATGGAGCGCGGTGTTACTAAAAAAAAAGACGGTACTTTGTACTTTCACCGCGATCCACGAGTCAAATTATTTTTGACGGACACAGGATACACGCATGACCATCTGAAATTACTCGCCCGTCAAATTCACTGCCCCTACATGATAATAAAAGGTGAAAATTCGAAACACAACGAGCCCAAAGAATTTTACTATGACGTACTCGAAGAATTGAAAGAAGTCTCTGATGACTTTCGCTTCCACACCGTACCTGGGACGCATCATTTTCATATGAGCAATGCTGCCACTGTTTCGGAGATAATGAATCCTTTTATATCTAAATACGCTTAACTAAATTTTAACTAGAGGGTCTGTCAAAAATAATCACGATAAATTTTTGATCATCACCAAAATAATTGTAATAAAAACAAAAAATTACACAAGTTATCATTAAATGTTTTTATACTGAATATTTCGGATGAAAATTAAGTTAGCCGACATTTAAAAATTTTTTTATTGAAAAAATGACTATAAAAAAAAAAGAAAAAAAATTTTCACTTGTAAAAAACTTTAAAAACTGTAAGTGCAATTTTTTAAAAAATATTTTTTTCTTTTAATTTAATTATTAAAAGAAAAAATCAAAAAATTAAAAATGTCGGCTAACTTTAGTATCATATATTTTGGTGCTGTGATTCTGACATCGGATATTTCGACTCGGATCCACAATTAGACTAATTTGTAAAGTTATTTATTTAATAAATTAAATTATTTTGATAGTTGAAAAAAAATTTGCTAAATAAACAAAAATAGAACAAATAAATAAACGCATGAGCATTTATCAGAATGAAACTTAACGATGTGAATCAATGTAATTTTTTTAAGCATGAATAATTGGAGTAAGGATAAAAAATGTTATATATATTATACATGGCGCCAAACCGGAAGAAAAAGAGCTAGTCAACGTACGTGATTGTGACGTAAGTTCACATATATGTACGTATATAGTATATATGAACTTGAAAGATGCGAGTACTGGTGACTGGCGAGTACTCGAGTCGCGTGATTTTAAGTAATAGCAGTGGGGCTTCGACTTCTGCGGCCAGTTAAACTTAAAAATCTGCTGGTTAACGTCAGTTTAGTCTTGATATTTCTCATAAAACTAAATCTCCTCCTCCTACTGTCTTTATATCACCGTATATATATATAATTCCAATTAATAAAGTAGTGACGATATAAATTTTGATAGTCTAAACATTGGTGATCTTGAAATAGTCGGATTTCACGGTCAAGTAAAACTTGCTGGGTTTCATTTGACACAATTGTTGATCCAGTTAAAGTCTGGCCGGGATTCAGTGTGATTTTTCAGTAAAATAAACTTAAAAAAATAATAATTAATTAATTACACATGTATAAATTTAAAATTTGACAATTAATTAAAAGAAATTTTTTTTTTTTATTTATATATACATTACTACGCTCTTGTTAATTGTGTATGTAGTAATAATTACTTATTATTAAAGTGCGCGTGCGTTTAAACATTCGAAAGCTTACAATTGAAAGCCACCACGCACTCTCAGCTCTGCTCTGATATCATCAGCTATCACTTTACCACCGAACCAGTTACTGGTTACAAGTGATCACTGTAACAGCATCGTTTATTATTATTAATAAGTTATTATTAAAATTAAAAAAGTGCAAAAGTTTATTTATTCATAAAAATATTAATAATAATTATGAATATTATTACTAAATCTCGTCCTTGACCAGACAATAAGACTTTAAGAGTCTTCTATATATAATATCTTTTAAAATTTGAGGGTTAGAAAATATAAACTTTTTAAATTTTTATGTTGTTGAGTATTTAGTTGTTTTAAAAAATTAAAAAAGTATCTGTGTGATACTTTACTTTTAAATTACAAGTGGGTATTTTTATAAATAAAATTACCAATGAGCAAGATGACTGATCGAAAAACCGAGGGGCATTATACACCACCGACCTCAGATACTATTCAAACAAAGCCATTTCCCATTCGAGGTATATTTATTAATTAATTAGTTAATATTACTATTATTATGAATAAAAATATATTTACTAAAATGTAATTATATTAACAGATAAGGCGGTATGTAGAATAAATCAATAATTAATATAACTCGAGTTATTGTTGACACTGTTGCTTGCTATATTGAGCAATTATTTGAGTAATAGATAACTAGTCATTGAGTATATTTTTTTAAATTATCGCTTACGTCAATTGACAAACAATAGTAAAAATTCTCTGCGTAATACATAGCCATATGCATTTTAATAATTATTATTATTATTATTATTATATATTTTTTGTATCACTGATATTTGTCACTAACCTCTAGCCTCCTTGCTCATTCAAGATATCATATCGAGGACAAATATTAATAAAAAAAAATATATACATAAGTATTATACAAACTGCTTGCAAATTAAAAATTTTTTTTTATTGACTACAATATGGTGTGCTGTAGTAAATTTATATTTAAGTTTTTATTGGTATCATTAACTCAATCTTATCACCTAAATATGGACATTGAACGAGTCAATTCATCATAAATTTATAATTTTTTTTTAAATGATAAAATGAAATAAAAATGTATATTTTTAAATTATTTATATTTTAATAATAATGATTGTAACTTTTCAGGTGAACGAGAAAATTTTGTAAATAAACCTCATGTAATAGCAATGGTCGGCTTACCAGCACGTGGAAAAACATATATATCAAAAAAATTATGTAGATACTTAAACTGGATTGGTATAAACACGAAGGTCTTCAATTTAGGTGAATATCGACGACATGCTACAACAGCATACAAATGTCATGATTTTTTTCGTCCTGATAATATAAAAGCGATGGCTATAAGAACCCAGTGCGCTGTTGATGCACTTAATGATGTTTGTCATTGGCTGGAGAGCGGTGACGGCGAAGTTGCTGTTTTTGATGCCACTAATTCGACAACCGAAAGGAGACAAATGATTCATGATATTGTTGTTGAAAAAATGGGATTTAAATTGTTTTTTGTAGAGTCTATTTGTGACGATCCGGAAATTGTTGAACAAAATATTATGGAGGTTCGTATTATTATTATTGATTTATTGTAAACATGTATAGGTACAATATTATTTATTTTCTATATATAATATTGATGATTGATTTTTATTTTTTATTATGCTAAAGGTAAAGGTAAGCAGTCCAGATTATGCAAATATGAATAAAGAAGAAGTACTAGCGGATTTTACGCTAAGAATTGAACATTATCAGGAAAAATACGAGGCACTAGATGAGAGTAAAGAACCTAATTTGTCATTTATGAAAATATACAATACTGGAGAAAAGGTCCTGGTGTATAAACATGAGGGTCATATACAAAGTAGAATAGTTTATTACTTGATGAATATTCACATTGTGCCGCGCACTATTTATTTAACGAGGCACGGTGAGAGTATGATGAATTTAGAGGGAAGAATCGGAGGTGATCCCGATCTCAGTGATCGAGGACGACAATACATCAAAGCACTTGCTGAATATATTGATGAACAGGATATACAAAATTTACGTGTATGGACTAGCTGGTTGAAGAGAACTATTCAAACGGCTGCTGACGTTAATGCTCCACAGGAAAGGTGGAAAGCTTTAAATGAAATTGATGCTGTAAGATTTTTTATCTTTATTTAAATTACACGGAAAAAAGTAAATTGTAAAATTCACTCGGATTCCGGTTATTTTTTATAGTTTCAAACAGTACAGCGAACATTGGGGTGGCACAAATGTAAATATTACAAAACTTAATCTAGAAAGTGTAAAAGCCACAATTTATAATTTTAATTTAATATTGAAAATGTGATCAGTAGCTGTGACTATAGTAAATAACGACTCTCTCATCTTAAAAAATTACAGTTTCAAATAGTAAAAATTGCCGTTTCAATATATAGTCTATATTATGAAGAGAAGTGGAAGGTCTCACACTCGGAGAATTTAACATTTGAAACAGTAAAAATTCTACTCTTAAAATATAATATATTTTACCAGTCCAAGCAAATCAATAATTATAGTTTGATTTTTAACGTTGCGTTTAAAATTCACCATTTTACTTTGTAAATATTGACGTTGCTTGTATAGAAAATTTAGTAACTGTAGTTTATATTTATTACATATCATGCGATCATTTTTTAGGTACGAAATGATAAATATCAAAGTCAAAATTCTTAATTATTATACTTTAACATTTTCGACATTTACATAGCGAATATTACTGTTTGAAATAGTATTTTCTTCCAGTTAATCATTACTTATTAAAAATCGACTATCATTTACCACAGTTTACTTTATTCCGTGTATACTTAGTATTTTATTTTAGAGAAAATAATTTAAATTTTACCTTCCAGGGAATATGTGAAGAAATGACTTATGAAGAAATAGCTAGTAAATACCCAACAGATTTTGCTGCACGGGACCAAAATAAATTTTCATACCGTTATCCAAGAGGTGAGAGTTATGAAGATTTAGTAGCTCGCCTTGAACCGGTGATAATGGAACTCGAGAGACAAGGAAATGTTTTAGTTGTTACTCACCAAGCTGTTCTACGTTGTTTACTTGCTTATTTTCTTGACAAGAACTCTGGTAAGTAGTAATGAATTTTATCTTCAATATCTACTATTACAGATAATAACATTTATTAATTAATTTCCGTAATATATTCAGAAAATATATCTCTTTTAGATGAGTTACCATACTTACAAGTACCTTTGCATACGATATTAAAATTAACACCAGTTGCATATGGTTGCAAAGTAGAGCGGATTCGGTTACCGATAGATGCAGTGGATACCCATCGACCAAAACCAAAGGTAGAAGCTAAATCTAATGAAATTGTTAAAAAAAATGATAATTCAGTAGATTAGGTTTGCTATGTGTACAGTAATGAGTATGTCACCGTACTCCATGACCAAGGAAGGAAAGAAAAATACTAAGCGACGTACTTATTTCCAGCTTATCATCATGAATAATAAATTTTTTTTTTTAACCATTGCTAATAAAATTACCTGACCTTTAGCTTGTATCTAAATAGTCCTCATTAATTGTCTATTTTTTAATTAATTGTCATTTTAAATAGAAAAAGATCTGATTGATTTTTTGTTTTCTTTCCTTTCTTATTTTTATTCCTTTCTTGTTACTCATGGCTTTCCTAATACTCTCATAATTTTTCATTTTATTTTTACCAATTAATTTTTTTACTTTATCATTTATCATTCCACTCATAATAATGACTTATTAATCAATTAATTGTTCGATTAATATATATTTATAAATATTAATTGGGAATGCAAATTAATAATATTTTAATTTTTTTTTGTTTATAATTGAATAAATGAATCTTCTTATCGCGATTTTTTTTTATTTTTTTTTCTTAACCAACTGAATAGCCGGGTATTGATTAATAACTTGAGAAAAGTTAATATGTGCATATGTATGTGTGTTTAATGTACTGTAACAATATCTATCGTACTACAGAGTACTTTATTCTTGAATTAATGTTATTGCTAAATGCTTGGTTTCATTTGCCTATTTATTACTATTTGTTTTTTTTTTTTTTTTTTTTTTTTTATGTAGAGTTATTAAAATTATATGCAACAATCTGTACTGACCCCGTTTATTAGCTATAAATTAATTGTATGAAGTTATTGCAGTGTATAAAATATATATCAAGATGAAATTAATTTCAGATCCCCGGATATTTGGAGGAGAGATTCAGATCCAAAGGGGAAAATCAACACACCTGATAGCTATCATTTAATAATATTTAATTAAATTCAATTTAATTTGATCAATATTATTATTTTAATTATTACTATTACTATTGCCAATTTAAATTCACATCAGTATGATTATGGTTCTTTATAATATAATTATTTTCCATCCTGTTTGTTTACCTGATTTTGTTGATGATTAGCAGCATTTTTGAGGCAGCAGGCTGCCAAGTCAGAGCTTCATGTAGTGCCAAATTATTTTCTATTTAATTATTATGTTATTAATTATTCGTGATTATTGATAATTGATGTATACGAATAGTTTAAATAATTCTAGTGTTTTATATTTTGAATTGAACAAAAAAAAAAATACGCGGGCATTTAATCATTTTATTTTTGATGCTTAATGATAATGTGATAAAAATGCTCAAGGCAGTGTGTGAATATTTAATTGGTGATTATAATTACATTAGTATAATTATTATTTTTTTTTTTTTTGATTATCAAAAATCATAAATGTGTTCTTTATTGATAGATTTACTTTTACTAACCGTCTTAAATAAATAGCTAATACTTCCTTCTCAATAAAATAATAAATAAAATTTTAAAAAATAGAGGTTGAAAATTTTTTTAATCTTTCAACAAAAAGAAAAAAAACTTTTAAAGTTATTCAATTAAGTAAAAAAAAAATGTCATCAAGATTCATGATGACAAAAATCCTATAGATATATTTACAATAATTACACTTACTAAGAACAAAAATAAACTAAAAAATTAAATATATACATTTTTATCAGTACATATTTTATCTTATACTATATATACATATACTATTACAAACCTTTTCTCTCTTGTATTATAAATTGGACTGTATTAAAAATAAAAGTCATAGGTCATCTTACTTATACAAAAACAATCATTGTACAAATATAATATATTTATTTTTTAATTATTATTATTGCTCGTTAAAAGTCTTATGACTTTAAATTAAAATATAATACTTTCATAGCAATGGTAATAAAAATAAATATATTATATTTTTTAATATATAAACATCAAGTTGATGTAAACAATAAAATATTTAATAAAAATTCATGGTCATTACATTTTATGTTAATAAAATTTTATTATTATTATTATTATTATGCAGTAAAAAATTCAAGAATTTTTTTTTTCTTTTCAAAACAATGATACTGAAGTTAGCTGACAGCTGTCAATTTTTAAAATTTTTTTAACAAATCAATTACAATGCTAAAAGTGCTTCTAAAAATTTTCACTGATCATTTTCTTTAATTTTTACAAGTGGAATTTTTTAATTAAATTTTATTCACCACAATTTAATTATTATAAGATTCTAAAAAAATTTTTAATGAAAATTAAGTTAGCCGACATTTAATAATTTAAAAAATTTTTTTCATTAAAAAAATTATTACAAAAAAAAAAAATAAGAAAAAAAATTTCATTTGTAAAAATCTTAAAAAACTTCAAGTGCAATTTTTTTTTAATATTTTTTTGTTCCAATTTAATTAATGGAAAAAAAAAATTAGAAACGTCGGCGAACTTTAGTATTATAACTTTTTAACGTATTTTAACTTCAATGTTATTCAAAACAACAATTTTATTTATCTAAACCATGGAAGTTAAAGTTAACGACTACACTTCTGCTAACTTAAAAAGGTATAGTTATATGTCAAAGTATAGTTTGGTATATTTTTGAAATAGAGCGTCGTAACCGTTTTGTTGACAGTAATCTCCACATTTAACTCAACAAAAAAACAATAAAAAAAATAAAATTAATAATTAAAGCACTTAAAAAACAAAAATTTTTCCAAGACAATTAATATACTTCTTCTATAAATAATTACCGCACTAGTAAGTATCTTATTTAATTTAAGGTTGTGTTGTTGTATTGTTATTACCGGCAAAATACTAAGTGTATTATTTTTATATTTTAGGTGAGGTATAGCTTTATAAAATAGATAAATAATTAAATAAACAGCTGTTGAGTCTAAAAACAATCTACTTCATAAAAAAACTATGATGAACAGCACAGAGTGGCGTTCTCAAGACGCAAATTCAGACTTTGGTCTAGATGACTCGATAGCATCAACAATAAACTCATCATTTCTGTCTTCGAACACTCAGAAGGACGCAAATTCAAGCTTAACTTCTGAAGAAGGACTCCTGAACGCTCTAAATAATTTAAGCATTGAGTCTGTGGAAAAACCAAGAAGATCTTCACGGTCAGACCCAAATCTAGATAGTTCTTACGAAGACTGCCAGGATTTGTCGTCGAACACGCAAATTGACCTTTCGATCAACAATACCGTGATTCATGATCCTTCACACTCTGCAGATGATAAAAAATTCACCGGTGACCAAATTAGTGACATTCCAATAAGTGTAAATTCAGAAGTGACACAAAATAACTCTCTAACAGAGAATGATAACACGAAAGAAGAAACAACTTGTAGCCAAGTAATTGATACTCCAACAAACGAGCATCAAGAATGTGTTTCTGGCTCGCAAACTACTTCTGACAATACTGGAGAACAAAAAAACACTACACAAGACGTAATAAATGACATGCCGATAAACAGTGACAGTAAAGCTATTCCGGACGCTGATCAGAAGAATATGAATAGTAATATTAATAAAAGTGCAGTTTTAAACCAGTCTACTAAAAAAAATAAGCCTGCTTCACCTTCTTTACTTCCTAAACCAAAGCCTCGAACTGTTGATTCATCAATTTTGGATCAATCGGTGTCAAAAGTTACAAAACCAGCTGCTAAGCATGTTATTAAGACAATTACTGATGCTTCCGATGGTGCACACCTCAAAGAAGAGCGAATAAATCACTTTGGTATCCCAGTAATTTCCGGAAGGAAAAAACACATTGAGGCTCAACCGTTTAACTTTTTAGCACGAGGAAAAAGTAACAGTATCACCAGCAAAACATCTGATACAAAACAAGTTGGTAATAAAACATTGAATGCTACTAGCAGTAAAATAATGAATAAAACAATCGGTGGTACGACTGATAAGACGATGAATAAAACATTGGGCAGCGCGTCTGATAAATTAGTTAATAAGACACTGACTGCCAAAAGAATTTCTAACGTTCCATCAAGAGTAATGGACAAGACTATTAAAAAGCCAAGTGTTTTAAATACGACTAGGTCTTCGAGCAATGCAAAAATTAGTACGAAAGTTAATCAAGAGAATAAGACGCCGAATGTTATTCCTAAACCGAAAATTCAAGCTCCGAAGCCGAGCAGAATTTCAGGACCGCCAAAGTTGCACACTGATAAGAGAGCCAAGGAGAGACATGAGTTTGATGTTCAGATACGACAGAAGCAACTGGAGATCGATAGACTGAGAATGATGTGGGAAGAAAAGCAACGGGAGAAGGAAAAGCTTGAAGAATTAGCGTTAAGAAAAACTATGGAGCCCAGAGCACATCCAATGCCGGAGTTCAAGGCCCCTGTGCCTATTAAATCATCCAAAGCTCTTACTGTACCCCAGAGTCCCGCGACCTGGGCTAATAACCACAAGAAGTGATTTTAATACTATAATTTATCTTTAGTTTGTAATTTTATAACGTCGTAAAAATATCCTTCGAGTTGTATTTGATGTCTGTAAGGTTTTAATGTATTTTTTTTTATTAGTTAAAGAATTAAAGCTTTAGAAAATACTTTTTTAGATATTTTCTAGTAAAAATGTATGGATAATATTTTTTTAAGCAATAATTGAATAAAAGTTTTTTCTGCCCTCCGGCCGGAACGTGGCAACTTTCTGGCCGCTGCGCTAAACAAAGTTGCCACATTCTGGCTACGTCGAGCAGAAAAATAGTATACACACCTTGGCCAGTAAATAAGAAAGCCTCAGATCACATGTTTGTCCACCTCGGCTTCGCCTCGGCCAACAATTACATGTGATCTGAGACTTTTCTTATTTTACTGGCCTAGGTATGTAATATACTATTAACATAAATTGAAAATATTTGTATGATACTACAATTAAGGGACATCTGATAACTTTTAGAATTTTTTTAACAAATAAATTACAGCAAGAATAATTTATTAAAATAATTTTTTAGGCTTAATTTAATTTTCAAGAAAAATAAAAAAATTATTCAGTATCTGCTAATTTCAGTGTCTTATATTTGTTTTAAAATTATGATATTAAATTTAGAAGTCATTTGATTATTTTTTAATTTTATTTAACAAACAAATTTTTTCCGAAAAATTGCATTTTTAGTTTTTAAAAATTTTGACAAAATTTGTTACAAAAATTATCTAAATTAAGTATCAAATATCTGCTCTGTTAATTTTCATTTAATATTTTAAATTTCCCGGAAAAATGGCAACAGTTACGCCACCTGATGGTGATTTATGTAAAAAAAAATAATTCGCTGATACAAACGTTCTTAAACGTTAGTACACTTTTGCCAACGAATCATATTTATAAAACAGATCGAATTTAAATAAATAATATTTATATTTTTAACTAATCCTCAATAAAAAAATACCTGTTACAATAAAATGGAAGTTGACACCCGAAGTGATGATGGAAAAATGAGGCACAGCCCAATAAAAGACACGGAAGATTTCAGGTAAGAAATTTTAAGGTTATATATTTATTTTTCTCAACATAAATTTTCCTCAACATTGTTTTAGTTGTAATTAAAAATAAATATTTTAAGTAAATTTAGATAGTAATTGATATTCTTTGACAGATAGATATTTAATAAAAAAAAAAAAAATAAAATCAACAGCTTCTCAGAAGACGGAGAAGACACCACGGACTCGTTGGAAATAAAGCCACCGCAGGCATCTCAGCGTTCATATAAATCAAATTCTTCAAGAAGGCGTGATAAGCATTCTGGTTATTCAGATAGACTTGATGATAGAGATCGCAAGCCGAGGCACCACGATCGTGAAGATAGACGGAGAGAAAACAAACACAAACACCGTAGACACGGTTTAGAGTCAGGATCTGATACTAGCGTGGCCAAGAGGGACCGCGAAAGATCTGACCGCAGTGAAAGGTTAGATAATTACTCTCGCAGTGTCGTCACCAGCGAACGAGAATTTTCTAGACATGAAAGGAAAGGAAGAATTAGTGAAGATCGTGTCCTTGAGGATTTACGCACCAGGTAATTTATTTTTATTAGTTGTTGATTTAATATTTATTATCAGTTAGCATTCAGTTGATTTTCAGATAACTTTTTTTTTATTTTTTCCCCCGTTTTAGTCAAACTTTTTGTTTGCTTTTTTATGAAATTATTTTATTTTTTATTCTAATTTAAAAATACATGTTTTTAGAGGAAATTTCACTCTACAAAAAAAGCTATGGTGTAGTTTCTTCGTAATCTCAACGCATAAATAGTTATAAACGTTTTAACATTCGTAAGTATCAAGTTTTTTGTATTACAATGGATATGCTTATGTAACTCGTAAATTTTTTTACTGCGACTAGTGAGTCAGACGTTGAGAAAAGTTCGTATATTTTTTTTAAATTAATTTTATTGGAAATAAGTAAATTAAAAAAATTTATTGTTATCTATATTATTAAGATAATAAGAAAAATTTTGTATCCAGAATAGTCATATGATAAAATCGGTTTTTTTAGTGAAATTTAGTGTCATTGCAAAGATCTTTATTTGAATTTATACCTTTTCAAGGTTTCATATCATTCTCACCGATAGTCAATTTTTTATGAAAAGTATTTAGACTGCATTCGAAAATACTCTATCTCTAGAGACATAATTAAGAAATGACCTTGGATCTCGTGAACTATTGACATTTTTAAAGATATAAGCTCATCGAGACCTTTCATTTGAGTACCCACATCAATTTTTCATATATTTTATATATTTATATATTTCACAAATTATATATATATATATAAAAAGTATATCAAAAATGCCATGTGGGTACTCAAATGAAAGGTCTCGATGAGTGTAACATCGAAACGAGTTTATATTTTAAAAAATGTCAATAATTGAGAAATCACCTTGTACCTTGTGAACTGTTGGTATTTTTAATGATACAAGTCCATCCCGATGTTACACTCATCAAGACCTTTCATTTGAGTACCCACATCAATTTTTCATATATTTATATATATTATATATATTTATATATGAAAAATATATCAAAATGCATGTGGGTACTCAAATGAAAGCTCTCGATGAGTTTAACATCGGGATGAGCTTATATCGTTAAAAACATCAATATTTAAGAAAGTACTATGTAATAAAGCAAAATTTTATTTATTTATAGTTCACAAGTCACGGTAGTCACTATGTGACTGCAAGGTTGCTAGTCAAAATAATAATTCTATTACAATAAAATTTAATAATTTCTCTGAAAAAATATTAAATATTGCGTTTTAATCTACTGTTGAGCATATAATAAAAATTTAATTAATTTATTGTTAAAATTTTAAGACAAATTTTCAGTCGTTGAAATTACGAAGAAAGCAAAGCAAATCTTTATTTCAAAAAATTTAATTTTCTGTAAAAATCTGTAATTAAAAAAAAAATTGTACTTACAATACAATGTTGAAACAAAATAGATTTTAGATTAGTTTTTATAAAATTCAATTAAATTGATATATAAAAAAAACTATTAATGTTCTGTTTTAATTTAAAAAAATAGTTAACCATTTTTAGATTGATGATTTTTTAATAAAGTAATGAATTTAATTAAAAAGGAATTTCTCTTCAAGATTACTGGACAAGAGACGAGAACGACGGGATGACCCAAGGGATGTACGTGACTATAAATCGGAATCCCGTCGAGAGCTGCGCTTGGAAGAGACACGTGAACCACGAGACCGTCGAGAAATAAGAGAATCAAGGATTGAAGACACACGTGATAAACGGGATGAAGTTCGCGCGGAAGAACGTCGCCAAGTACGTACCGAAGACTCGCCGTACATTGACAGCGAGTTGGAGCAAGAACGACCTAATCGGGAGAAAAGACATAAACGGAGTCACAAGCATGATAGAGTGCGTGATAGAGACCGCGAGCGCGAGTACCGTGAAAAACAGCGTGAAACGACCATGGAGGTTGTTGAAGATGAAGAGGACGAGCCAAGTCCCTTGTCGATGCCGATTAAAGACCCGAAAGAACTCGCGGAGCAAGAGTTACGTAAAAAGAGGTATTTTTCTTTTTTCGCTATCAGTTGTGTACTTTTTTTTAAGAAATTAGAATTAATATATTTATTTATTGATGTTTTTAATTTTTTTATAGGTTACTCGAAGCAGACCGAGAATTGGAACGGAGGAAAGAGGCTTCTAAAGCAGAATTAGAAGCAAGAAGACTTAAGAGAGGAGAAAAACGTCCGCACAGTCCTGCTCCAGTTTATAGACTAAGTGATGATGACCTCAGTCCTATACAATCTGACGATGATCAATCAAAATCTTCTAAGTAAGTTTTTAATTTCGATTTTACATATTAAAATTAAAATAAAAATTTTTTTTATTAAATATTTTGATTATTAAAATTCAACTTTTAATTAGACACTGTTATGCATTAATGTATTAAGTACTATGAAAATCTTATATACTTAACACACTATTGCATAACAGAGTCCAATTAAATTAGTAAATACTAGCAACCTCGCAGTCACTATATGACTGCTGTGACTTGTGAATTATAAATGAATAAAATTTAGCTTTATTAAATAATGATTTGTGTTAAATTGCACTGTACTTTTTTAACTATTGACGATTTTAAAGATATAAGCTCCTCCCGATGTTACACTCATCAAGAGCTTTCATTTGAGTACCCAAATGCATATTGATATATTTTTTATATATACATATATATATATAATTTATATAAATATATGAAAAAATGATGTGGGTACTCAAATGAAAGGTCTCAATGAGTGTAACATCGGGGTGAGCTTATATCTTTAAAAATGTCAATAGTTCACAAGATACAAAGTAATTTCTTAATTATGTATCTAGAGATAGAGCATTTTCGAATTCACCCGAAATACTTATCATTATAAATTCACTATTGGTAGGAATGATATAAAACCTTGAAAAGGCACAACTCCAGGTCAAGATCTTTCTATGATACCAAATTTAACCTTAAAAAATCATTTTATCATATAAATACACTGGCCACAAAATTTTTCTTAATCTTTTAATGATATAGAAGTAGAAAAAAAATTTTTATTTATTTAATTTTACAATTACAGATCTCAAAGACAATCATCAGAAGACCGTCATAGTAGCAAAGATAAGTCATCTGAAAAACAAACATCCGATTCATCGGATTCGAGCAGCGAAGAAGAAGAAGAAGAAGACGATGACAACGACTCAACAGAGTCGAACAAAGGTTCCAATGATGAATCAAACGACGGTTCTGATTACAGTAATCTCAGCCCGATATCCGTCGACCGCCTCGTCAAGTCAGATCACTCTGACGGAGGCTCTCCCGGTCGCATTGTATCAAACGGGACTGCCAAAGAACCCGAAGAAGTGAAGGAAGAAGTAAAAGGAGAAGAGGAAGAACCAGAGCTACCTCCATACCTACCTGCCATTCAGGGCTGCCGCTATGTAGACGAATTTGTCAGCTTGAATCGCATTGAAGAAGGTACTTACGGTGTCGTATATCGAGCACGTGATAAACGCACAGGCGATATTGTAGCGCTGAAAAAATTGAAAATGGATCGGGAAAAGGAAGGGTTTCCCATTACTAGTTTAAGGGAGATAAATACGTTGTTGAAAGCGCAGCATCCGAACATTGTTACCGTCCGCGAGATTGTCGTCGGCAGTAACATGGACAAGATATACATCGTGATGGACTACGTAGAGCACGACCTGAAGTCTCTGATGGAAACGATGAAGCAGAAAAAGCAAAACTTTTTGCCCAGCGAAGTAAAGTGTCTTATGCAGCAGTTGTTGAAAGCAGTAGCCCATTTACACGACAATTGGATCCTCCATCGCGATTTAAAAACCTCAAACCTGCTGTTAAGCCACAGGGGGATTCTCAAGGTCGGTGATTTTGGATTAGCAAGAGAATATGGATCACCTCTGGGCAGATACACTCAAATCGTGGTGACTCTTTGGTACCGTGCGCCAGAATTATTGCTAAATGGCAAAGAATACAGCACGCCTATCGACATGTGGTCTGTAGGATGCATATTCGCCGAGCTGATACGCATGGAAGCTCTTTTTCCCGGGAAATCCGAGATTGATCAAATTCAAAAAATCTTCAAAGAACTGGGCTCACCGAACGATCGTATTTGGCCAGGTTACTCCAACTTGCCATTGGTATCTAAAATACCTTTCGCTCAATCTTATCCGGTAAATAATTTACACCAGCGATTCCGGCTCAAGCTGTCTGACAACGGAATGGAGTTGCTCTGTAAAATGCTGACTTATGACCCGGCTCAGCGGATCACCGCTGAGGACGCTCTACAGCATCCTTATTTCACCGAGTCACCGCTGCCGATTGATCCCTCAATGTTTCCAACCTGGCCTGCCAAGTCAGAGGCCAAAGACAGATCAGCCATAAAAGTTAATGCTTCTCCGAAACCTCCTAGTGGCGGCAAAGAGTACAAGCAGTTGGGGGAGTATGATGAAGCTGAATTAGGTCCTGCTGTTGATGGATTTCACATGGGTCTTATGGAAAGCGGTCGGCGTAGAACTGTTCCTGCTGGCGGTGGTTTTCATCTTAAATTTTGGTATTATTCTTACTATTTTAAATCAATACTTGATAATATAAGGAATAATATTAATTATTAATTATAATTTTTTAGATCTCCAATGGATGTACATGAGGACGGAATCATGTACATGATTCGAATGACGATTCGACCCTACTTAACAAAGCGCGTCAACGAAATGCATTAAAGATTGAAATAGCTTTTATTTTTATTGTCGTAAATAAATAATTTTTTTAAGATTTTAAAAATACAATAAATTTCAATTGAAATTTGTTGAATTACATCATGGTATGTTTCTTACACGCCAATTATTTTTCTACGGCTAGTTTAAATATTTAAATCTAAGTATTGTACAAATGGTTAATCAATTAAATACTCAGCCACAAAACGCATGTAATAAGGTTAAACGTTAACGAAGTAATTTGTAAGGTACTTTATATTAAAGTATCATTTATTGTTATAATTATGTAATATCTAAAGTTTATTGACATTGTTCACAGGTTTAAGATAACCCAGAAACAAATCAGACTAGGTAAAATTATTAAATTTATATATTTGTATTATAATGATTGAAAATAAATGACTACTTCAATAGACTTAGTATTCTTTCTTGCATTTAATTATTGATTTTTTATAATAATTGTTTTCGATGTGTTCTAATATATATGATAAAGCGCGGATTACTTCAATCAGCCAATAGGAAGTGAAAATACCAACTTGTTGGAAACTCTTGTTATGTATATATATATATATATATATATATATTTGATACTGAAGTTGACAGACTTAAGAAAAATTTTTTTATAATTTTGTAGCAATAAAATTATTTTGAAAAAAATTAAATAAATAAAATTCCACATTTGAAAATTTCAAATAATTATTAGTGAAAAAATTTATGACATTAAAATTATCATTTTTTAATTTTATTTAACAAAAAAATTTGTTCCGAAAAATTATTTTTAAAAAATTGCATTTTTAATTTATTAATTTTTCTAAATGTCAATTTTTTTTTATGTAATAATTTATTTATTAGAAAAATTCTTAATATTATTAAATATTTGTTAAATTAATTTTCATTTTTTATTACTGTAATTGATTTGTTATAAGAACTTAAAAAAATTGACAGCTGTCAGCTAACTTCAGCATCATGAATATGAATGAGTGCGCCACTGAGTGGCGTTCATCCGAAACAATGCTATAACCAACAAATAAAATTATAAAAACATTTATATTAATATATATTTAATATTTAATAATAACGTAATAATTACGTTTTTTATTTATTAAACAAACACAAATGAAGACACACAAATGTGATTGGTAAAAACTGTAAAAAAATGGACATAGACAATCAGAGTGAGGACGGTGAAATAAAAAAAAGTCCAATGAAAGATATTGATGATTTTAGGTGAGCTATTTTAAGGTTATTTACTTATTTATTTATCTATCCATTGATTGATTTAATGAATTAAACTTTTTATTTAATTTGATATTAATTGACGTTCTTTGATTGATAGACGGTTTGTAAAAATAATAAAATTAATAACAGTTTCTCAGAGGAGGAAGCAGGTGATACTGCTGATTCGTTGGATATCAAACCACCACAGGCAGCTCTACGTTTACGTAAATCGACGTCCTCGAGAAGACGAGAGAAACATGGAGAGAGACGTGATAGGCGCGATGACAAAGATCGCAAGTCGAGGCACCACGACCGGGAAGATCGCCGTAGAGAAAATAAACACAGGCATCGTAGACACGGTTTGGAATCTGCGTCTGACGGGTCTAAGAGAGATCGTGACAGATTAGAACGCTCTGAGAGACTCGATTCTCACTCTCGTAGTGCTGCTACCAGTGAGAGAGAGTCATCTAGGCATGAAAGGAAAGAGAGGAACACTGGTGATCGTGTTCTTGAAGATTTACGTACCAGGTAAATTATTTTCCATTTGCTATTTTGATTTTTTTTTTTTTTTTTTTTTTTTTTAAATCAATAAGTATCAATTATGGAAAAAATAGACCTGTTAAAATTATACTAAAGTTAGACTTTTTTTTTAACGAAGTACATCATTTATAAGTCAATTTTTTAAATTATTTATTTAATAGAAAAAATAAATATTTTCAAATATTATAATAACTAGCAGTCCGTCCCGACTTTGCCCGAGGATAGTGTAGTTTCCCATAGTGAAAGAATTTATCAAATCGGTTCAGTAGTTTCGGAGTCTATTCGATGCAAACAAACAAACAAACAAACAAATCTTTCCTCTTTATAATATTAATATAGATAAAGTTAGCCGAGATTTTTTATTTTTTGATTTAGTTTAGTTTATTAAATTAAAACTAAAAAAAACTTTTCTTTAATTCCACTCAGTTGTTCAAATTTTTTTACAAATAAAATTAAAAAAAAAATTTTTTTTGTAATGATTTTTTCAATAAAAGAAATTCTAAAGATTTTTAAATGTCGGCTATCTTTATTGTCGTACAAATATTATATTAATTCTATATAAATTATATAAATTTATTTTTTGATTTAGTTTAGTTTATTAACTTAAAACTAAAAAAATTTTTTTTCCACTTACAGTTTTTTAAATTTTTTACAAATGAAATTTAAAAAACATTTTTTTTTGTAATGATTTTATTCAATAAAAAAAATTCTAAAAATTTTTAAATGTCAGCTAACTTTATTGTCATACAAATATTATATAAATTATAATAACATTAAAGTTGACAGATTTTAAAAATATTTTTTAATAGAATTTGTTAAAAATTTTTTCAGAAGCTGAAATTTTTAATACGTCTAAAGTATTATTTTGTCTTGTTCAATTTCTATGTTTGTCTAAATATTTTTCTATTAAAACATTACCAAATTATTATTTCACAAAATAATACTAAATTTATCAGACATCATACATCTTAGCACTTAAATTTGTCTTATTATTAATTTACAAATTAAATTATTAAAAAAACTTTTAATCAATTTGGTTATTTTGTAATGATCTATTACAAAAAATTTTTCCATTATTGAATGCTTTTATTTTTATTTAAAAATGCATATTAATTATTAACTTATTTATTTTATTTAAACCAACTTATTTATTATTTTTGTACAATTTTTTTACTAATATACTGAATAAAGGAACTTCGTTTCAAGATTACTTGACAAAAGACGTGAAAGACGAGATGATCCAAGGGATTTACGTGAATATAAACCGGAATCACGTCGGGAGTTGCGTTTGGAAGAGTCGCGCGAACCTCGAGACCGCCGAGATATGAGAATGGAGGATACGCGCGACAGACGGGGTGATATGAGGATGATGATGGATGACGGCCGTGGAGGAGGCGGACGAATGGATGACCGGCGTCATCTACAGAGTATCGATGATCCGTATCCCGAAAATGAGTTGATGGAGGAGCGCTCGAATAGAGACAAGCGGCATAAGCGGAATCACAAGTACGACAGAGTGCGCGATCGGGATAGAGATAAAAACGACCGCGAACGCGAAAACCGCGATAAACAGATGCGCGAATCAATGATGGAGGGTATACAGATCCATGATATCGAAGAATTGGATCTCAATGACTTGCCGCTGCAGCCCAAAGACATTAAGGAACTTAACGAGCAGGAAATGCGCAAGGAGAGGTACCTTAAGTATGTTAATTTATATTTTTATTAAAATTTTTAAGTAATTGGAATTTTTTTGAGACAATTTTTATTTTTAACAGACTACTGGAAGCTGATCGGGAAATGGTCAGGAGGAAGGAAGTTTCTAGAATAGAATTACAAGCAAGGAGATTAAAGAGAGGGGAAAAACGTCCACATAGTCCAGATCATAATCATGATCAAATTGTTGAGTTGACTGACGATAGTCTTAGTCCTGTACAATCAGATGATGACCAGTCAAAATCTCCAAAGTATGTTTCATTTGTATTTTTATTTTTATGAGGACCCATCTAGTACCTCAATATTATTAAGAAATAAGAAAAATTATGATAAGTATTCAGGCTGCGGTCGAAAATTCTCTATCTCTTGATCTTGTATCTTGAGAACTATTGACATTTTTAAAGATATAAGCTTACCCCGATATTACACTCATCGAGACCTTTCATTTGAGTACCCACATCAATTTTTCACATATTTTACATATTTATATATTTCAAAAATACCATAAATATGAAATATATAAAAAATGCCATGTGGGTACTTAAATGAAAGGTCTCGATGAGTGTAACATCGAAATGAGTTTATATCTTAAAAAATGTCAATAATTAAGAAATTACCTTGTATCTGGCGAACTATTGACATTTTTAAAGATATAAGTTCATCCCGATGTTACAGTCATCGAGACCTTTCATTTAAGTACCCACATCATTTTTTCATATATTTATATATTATATATATGTATATATAAAAAATATATCAAAATGCATGTGGGTACTCAAATGAAAGCTCTTGATGAGTATAACATTGGGATGAGCTTATATCTTTAAAAACGTCAATAATTAAGAATGTACAGTGAAAGTGAAATTTAACAAAAGTATACGTAGTGTAAAAAATTCTTATGTAAACTATTAATCTTAAGACCTATCTTAAAGGTGGTGTTTGATAGCCTAATTATTTTTTTTCCATATAGTAAATAAAATTATTTACATGATGATAGTCAATAAAAAAAAAAAACTAAATTGAATTGCAGATCTCAAGAAAGACATTCGTCAGAAGACCGTCACAGTGGTCGAGACAAATCATCGGATAGACATACGTCAGACTCGTCAGACACGAGTAGCGACGATGACGATGACGATGACTCGAATGACTCGAACAAGGGGTCCAACGACGACTCTAATGACGGATCTGACTATTACAACAACCCTAGTCCGCTTTCTGTCGAGCGACTCACCAAGTCAGACCACTCGGATGGAGGTTCTCCAGGACATATCGAGTCGAACGGCACAACCAAAGAACCCGAAGGGGTCAAAATTGTAGTAAAAGAAGAAAAAGAACCCGAGTTACCTCCATACTTACCTGCCATCCAAGGATGCCGTAGCGTAGAAGAATTTCAGTGTCTGAACCGCATCGAAGAAGGTACTTACGGTGTCGTATATCGGGCACGTGATAAACGCACAGAAGAAATAGTCGCGCTAAAAAGATTGAAAATGGAGAAGGAAAAGGAAGGGTTTCCTATTACTAGTCTAAGGGAGATAAATACGTTGTTGAAAGCGCAGCATCCGAACATTGTTACCGTCCGCGAGATTGTCGTCGGCAGCAACATGGACAAGATATTTATCGTGATGGACTACGTGGAGCACGACCTGAAGTCTCTGATGGAAACGATGAAGCAGAAAAAGCAAAACTTTTTGCCCAGCGAAGTAAAGTGTCTTATGCAGCAATTGTTGAAAGCAGTAGCGCATTTACACGACAATTGGATCCTCCATCGCGATTTAAAAACTTCAAACCTGCTGTTGAGCCACAGGGGGATTCTCAAGGTCGGTGATTTTGGATTAGCGAGAGAATATGGATCACCTCTGCGCCAATACACTCCAGTGGTGGTGACTCTTTGGTACCGTGCGCCAGAATTATTGCTAAATGGCAAAGAATACAGCACGCCTATTGACATGTGGTCTGTAGGATGCATATTCGCCGAGCTGATACGCATGGAAGCTCTTTTTCCCGGGAAATCCGAGATTGATCAACTGCAAAAAATCTTCAAAGAACTGGGCACTCCCAGCGACCGTATTTGGCCCGGTTACTCAAAGCTGCCAGTCGTCTCTAAGATACCTTTTGCACAATCTTATCCCGTAAACAATTTAAGACAGCGATTCAGTCTAAAGTTATCTGACAACGGAATTGAATTGCTGAATAAAATGCTGACCTACGACCCGGCGCAACGTATGACTGCTGAGGACGCTCTTCAGCATACTTATTTCACGGAGACTCCGCTGCCAATAGACCCCGCGATGTTCCCTACCTGGCCTGCCAAGTCGGAGCTTGGCATCCGCGCGACCACTAATGCTTCTCCTAAGCCACCCAGTGGTGGTAAAGAGTACAAACAGCTTGGCGACAATGACGATGCTGAGATCAATGCTTCTGGTGGATTTCATATGGGTCTTATGGAAAGCGGCCGCGGCGCAGCGCCTGTCGGTGGTGGTTTTCATCTCAAGTTTTGGTAATTTTTTTATTTTATTATCTACTGTCATTAAGATCGTTCATATATGATGATTGATGATATATAATACGGGAGTTTTATAATAAATTGTTTTACTATTTTTATTAAACTCGCTTCAATTTTTTTTTTTCATTTAATAACTATCAGCAACCTTGCAGTCACTATGTGACTGCCGTGACTTGTGAACTATAAATAAATAAAATTTTGCTTTATTAAATAATGACTTTTGTTAAATTGCACTGTAATTTTTTAACTATTGATGTTTTTAAAGATATAAGTTCATCCCGATGTTACACTCATCAAGAGCTTTAATTTGAGTACCCACATGTATTTTTGATATATTTTTCATATATACATATATATAATAATATATATAAATATATGAAAAATTAATGTAGGTACTCAAATGAAAGGTCTTGATGAGTGTAACATCGGGATGAGCTTATATCTTTAAAAACGTCATTAGTTAAGAAAGTACAGTGCAATTTAACAAAA